TTTCTTTTTGCTAATATCTCTGAGTCTCCAATCTATTGGTAAGGGTCTCTGTACCCCACACACTGAAATTAACAACATAATTGGGACAGTCCCAATTACAAAGTGAGATCAGAACTATTAACCAAGCACAGTACAAGCCATAGTAAGAATGACCAAAATTAGGGACTAATTTGAAGGGGAAAAATCAAACAACATCAGATAATCAAGAGATTGTAATATACAAATAACAGAAAATAAAAGCCAAAGGGGTACAACAATGGACAACAATAATAATAGACCTTAAATTGCAGCTTAGTACTCCTGGATCTCAGATGTCCCATGCACAGGTCCCTAGCACACCTTTCCTTGGGGCAATCTGGAAAATTTTGTGTCCTCAAGGGCACCGCTTCATTGGATTTTTCCATTCTGGTTCCAGGTTACTAGTAGAGCCTCCTCAGATGTTCCTACTAGAATCCCTTACAAAACAGATCTCAATACAAATTGGCACAGACTCTCAAAATTTACTGCTCCAATAACTAGTTTATATTGTGAAAACCACCTCACTTTGTCTCTTTTTCTTTATCTGTTAGGTAAAGGTTATAATAATTGTAGTACCTACCTCACAAGATTGTTGTGAGACTTAAATTGATAACTTGTAAAGTACTGTGCACATTTTAAAGAGTTGTCTAAATACTTATCTATTCTCATCATTATTATTATCTATTCCAACCCCCTCAGTGTATGGTTTAGGAAATTGAGGCCTAGAGGGACTTGTCCAATATCACATAGGCAAAAACAGAGATGGCTATGGACCCAGTTCCCTTTTTACACTACACCATTATGGTTATGGGAATGGGCAAGCATGAGCATAACGTGTGGGGGAATTATTTCTCGCTTTAACTTTTTCAGCTTTAATTTACTCTGCTGGCCATGGCATTGTGGAATTTCTCTTTTTAATCTTTAAGTCACATTCTTTTCCTTCCCCCTTATGATCCCTGTTTCCATTTTTATCTCTTGTGCATTGATAATGATTTTGTTCTTTCTTCATCAATTTCCAACATGCATTGACTCCAGGTACCTATTTTTCCTACTGTTTGCTCTGTGATATTCCAAGAACACAAGGGCTAATGCTGATATCTTACCTCTACATTTGCTTCCCTCTTTGATATGACTTTATCCTGCTTTTAGTATATCAGGTCTACCTTTTCTGCACAGCTATGTCAGCTGTAATATAGGTTTAAGTATGATTAAGACTCTTACTGAAATGTGTAGAAACATTTTTGGTATTTCAGTATTAAGATTCTCTATATATCTAGCTTCAGATTAGCCAAAATTAATCCAGTTTTAATTTTTTTCTAGAAAGGTTCCTTTAAGCTGCTTTTTGCTATTTCTCTCTACAGGGTATAAGACCAACACAACTACTACTTCTGGACAGGATTAATACTCTGCCCAAATTGTGAAGTAACTTGTTTGTCCTTAAAATATCAGGATATAGGGTGTGTTCAGGGAAGGCTGCCCCGTTTTAGGGCTGCTTTTTACCTTTGGTGTGGCTCCAAGAAGCTGTAGCATATGCAGCAGCCATACCCTAGTAAACTGTTTCAGCAGACAGGCTAAACCAGATTGAGGGTAACTGAGAGGTCTCAAACCTTTTGGTGAGTTAGGTGTCTATTCCAAGCATGTGAAGACTTCCCCCAGTGGAATGGGCAGATGAAAACAATTTGTTACAATGGCTGTGAAGATGGCTGAAGCAGGCACTGTGGAGTGCTTAGAGCTTGGTTAGACATCAAATATGCCAAGGTTATCCACTGCATCCCGAGCCATCACTAGTCATCTGGACTTTGTCTTGCCACCAGACGGAAGCAGCAATGGGATTCAGCAGCCCCCTGGGTATCTGAGCAGGCTTTTTGAACAAATCACAACTGCTCACCTCCTAGTGTGAAGAAGGGCCTAGAAAAGGTCCCCTAAAAAGTGTCTACTTCACCCCATCCTGGCCTACTTATTCTGGCAGGCAGAGATCCCACCCTGTGGTTGAAACATAAAAAAAATGTACAAAACCTTTTGCAAAGATGATTCTGCTCACCATTGGTACATGGAATGTGCACATGCTTATGGACAATATAAAATCCAGAAGACCTGAAAGAGGAACAGTTCTTGTTGCGAGAGAATTAAGCAGGTATCACATCTAAATAGCAGCCTTGAGTGAAACAAAGCTGGCAAATGAAGGCCAGCTCACTGAAGTTGGAGCTGTATATGTTTTTTCTGGAGTGGCTATAGTGAAGGGGAGCGCCATGAAGCTGGCATAGGTTTTACAATCAAAACTAATCTAGTCAACAAGGTTTTTTTTTTTAATTTGTCTACCAATAGAAGTGAATGACAGGCTCATGATAATGTGATTGCCACTTGCAGGAAAGCACCACACCACTATCATTAGTGCATATGCTCCCACCATAATGAACTCTGATAAGGTCAAAGAAAAATTTTATGAAGACCATGGAGATCTTCATCATCAATGTGCTGAAAGAGGATAGGCTTATAATTATAATTCTGGGTGACTTTAATGCAAGATAGGCACAGACTACCAGACATGACAGGGAGTCCTTTGGAGGAATGGTGTTGGAAACAGCAACGGCAATGGTCACTTACTACTGAAGACTTGTGAGTCTCACAACCTTCTCATCACTAACATTTTGACAGGAATATGTGTTGTATTTTGTCAAAAGCTTTTTCTGCACCTTTTTCTGCAAAATCATATGATTTTTATTATTGATATGGTCATTTATGCTTTTCTTATATCTTGCAAATTTGCTGAGTTGCTAATTGAGTCAAATTACTTTTTTAGTTGATTCTGTAAACCTACAGAAACCTGGGCATCTTATGTTTTAATAAATATTCATCCATTTAATTTAGACTTTCAGGGTTTTTTTTTGACATATAGTTAGACAAATAGCTCCTAATAATTTCATATATTTCTTCTTCATTGTGAATTCACCTTTTTTATTTTTGATACTGGTGATTTGGTTTTCTTCAAGCTATCTAATGGCTTTTTTATTTTATTTTATTTTTCTAAAATATTAGTTTTAGTTTTATTTATGAATTCAGTCATTTTCTTTTGCTTTCAGTTTTGTTAATCTCTTTTGATTTTCAGGTCTTCTATTCTGATGCTGAATTGGGTTTTCTTTAAATTTATTCATTTTCTAGTTGGTTTTTTTAGGTGCATGCTCATTAATCTACTTTTTCTTTCTCTTACTGATAAAAATGTTTAGCAATATAAATTTTTCCATAAGAACTGTTTTGGCTGAAACTCCAAAATTTTGACATTTTACATCATTGTTGCAATTTTCTTTAATGAAATTATTGAATGATTTTTTGATTTATTCATTGACCCAATGATTCTTTAGGATTAAGTTATTTTCAAATTAATATTTAATCTTTGCTTCAAAAGATTTTTCTTTTTTTTATATCATGAAGAGTAAAAGATGAATTTAATATTTTTGCTTTACTGCCTTTGTGAAATTTTTAAGCCCTAATATGTGATCAGTTTTTGGGAAGATGACATGCATAGCTAAGAAATAGATATGCTTTTATCTATTCCTATTCAATAATCTCCAGAGGCCTATCATATTTAACTCTTCTAAAATTCTATTTAGGTATTTCATTTCTTTTTTGTTTATTTTTGGCTAGGTTTATACAGGTCCAATAGTGGTAATGAGGTCTCACGCTATTATAATTTTACTTTCTTTTTCATCTTATAATTCCTTTAACTTTTGCTTTAAAATTTTACATGCAATGCCATTTGGTGCACATATGTTTACTATTATATTAATTAGTTATCTATGGTACCTTTTAGCAAAATGTAGTTTTCCCATTTATCTCTTTTAATTAGGTCTGTTTTTGCTGTTGCTTTGTCTGAGATCACGATTGCTTTCCCCTGCCTTTTTTACTTTAGTTAAAGCTTAATAGATTCTTTTCCCTTCTCTTTTTCATATAGATTTTTACTTGTCTTATACATTTATGTGAGATAATTTCCCCCATTATTCCTCTCCCTTTCCCCCTCTAACTGTGTCCCACTTCCCCTTCATTTCCATTCTTATTTTAAAATCAACAAAACATAAAAGAATCACCTCCAGGCCTTCTCTTTAATTAGACTCTCTCCACAATTCCTGATGATGGAAATGTTTTGAGGAACAATATATATCATGACCTCATATAAGACTGTAAACAGTTTAAACTTTTTTATTCCTTTATCATTGTTTTTTGGGGGTCTACCTTTTTGTATTTCTCTTGACTCCTGTGTTTGTATGATAAAGTTTCTACCCAGCTCTGGTCTTTTCATCAGGAATGCTTGTAAATCCTCTATTTCATTTTCCCCACTAGGATTATATTCAGTTTTGCTGGGTAAATTATTCTTGGATATACCTTTTTGCCATCTGTAATATCATAATCCAAGTTCTCTGTTCCTTTATATGGCTGCTGCTAAATCATATGTGATACTAGATATTACTCTTCACTTCTTGAATTCTTTCTTTCTGGTTTCTTGCAATATTTTTTCTTTGAGGAGCTCTGGATTTTAGTTTCAGTATTTCTGGGAATTTTCATTATCAGGTTTCTTCCAAGAAGTGATTGGTGGATTCTTTCCATTTCTGTTTTGCCTTACAATTCTGAGCAATCTGGCCAGTTTTCTGTTAGAATTTCTTGAAACATGGTGTTTAGATTATTTTTTCTTTCTTTCTTTCTTGTTTTTTGTCCCTAGATGGAAGTTTCAGTAGACTGCTGCTGGTTTCAGCCACTGGGAGGCTCTGCAGGTTCAAAGTGATAAATTGCAGACTCCTTTTTTTCTGGGACTCTGGAGGCTAGAACTGAGTCTTTGTTCTGCTCCTAGAATCAGAGTCACACAGTTACCATTCACTACAGAGCTCGTTCTTCACAACCAGATCCTTTCTGCCACTTCTAGATGCAGGGACCCTCCTCATTTTGCCTTAGATCTGTGACCTGAAACTTGGTAGTGTTGACTGAGCTGTCAGATGGCACCCCTTCCCGCACCACTAGTTCTGGGATCCTCAGAATCTTTGGAATCTTTTCCTGCCCTAATGCCCAGTCCGAACCCTCTCTCTGGCCCTGGATGTTGGAACATTTCATTCTTAGAATGCTTCTGGCCAAACCTGGTCCCCAGTGTCCATAACCTCTCTCTCTCTCTGTCCTCTTGTATTTCCCAGTCAGAATTTGGTCTGTTGTGTTTTCTGAGTGTTTGTGAAGAAAATGTGGTGGGGAAGCTAGGCCCTACTTCTTGCTACTTTAACATCTCTCTGCATTCATATTATTTTAAATGTATAGTGATTAAGATATTGTGTAGAATAATGCAAATGTTCTATATTTCTGACATGAAAATAGTAGTCAACTTGTCAAAGAACTGGATAATTCAATTTGAGGAGGGTACAATTGTATCATTTCAACACAATTGTTTAATTTTTAAAATTTGTCAATCAATTGTGATCTTGCATGAATATAACCCGAACCTGAAAACTTATGCTGTATTCCCCTCTGCTTTAGGAAAATTCTCCAAGGTGGGGGGGAAAGCAATCAGCAATACAGAAGTGAATGTTCTCACCTAAGCACAGTAAGTACTGTCATAGCCAATATTGTACCCGTACTAAAAACAGAAACCCAAAGACTATCACATTCTTGGGAAGCTAGTAGTCAGAGGGTGGGTTGAGTGTTTTGAGAAGTTCCCTTGCACAGCTCTCTAAGAATAAACATGTGTCTATTGTAGGTAGACGTGAATTATTTCTAGTTTTCAGTATCTACTATTACAGATTATAACCTGTCTATACCTTACTAAATGATTTTTGAGTTACTTACTATAGCTTTTTAAAAATCATACTTAGGTGGCCTTCATGATGAATCTTTTCAGATTTGGCTTGCTTAGAAGACAGGCACACAATGCATTAGTGATAAATTCTACTGGGAACTTTTGTAACTCTGTAGGGTTTATATTCTGTTGCCATATTCTTCAGGAATTCAGAGTAGTACCTTCATAACTTCACTTTTGTAGAGGATCAAGTTGCTTCAAAATAAATCATTCAGTGTATAGGGTCTAGGCCTATTTCTCAGTGTATAGGACCTAGGCAATTTTTACCATCTAGATAACAGCATATTTCTAGACTGCCATAAGATGCATTTTTTATCACAAAGAGAGAGAGAAAACTATTTCAAAATTGTAATTATTGTTATTCTAGTCTCATAAATAAGTGCAAACATCATTAGCTCACAATTTTTATTTTATTATTAATTAAACCTTATTCCCTCAGTGAAATTATTTGGTAGTAAAACAAGCAAACTACACATTTTTCTAGCACTCCGGCACCCATTGTGCCACTCTGGAGAAAGTGTTAAGTTGGTACATGTAAGCAATGTTTAGAAAGCCATGAAAGAAAATGCTATCAATTATAGGTGTTATTTCTCTATTTGCGTGAAATATTTATATTGACTCAACTGGAGAAATAAGCTAATGGATCCTGTACCACTCTTTCCTATTGAATTTTTACCCTTTATATCTCAACTCAAATATATCTCCTCCATAAAGCCCTCCTTGATCCCATATCCCATCTCAGTCAGAATTGAGAAGAAATAGCAGTGAGTCATAGCCTAGTGTGGCAATATGAGCCTAAATGAACAAGAGTTTTTCATGACTCTGGCTTAAAAGCCTAAATACCATCCTTTTACTGCATGTGACAAGTTGCAATGACACCTTTGCTAAGTGCAAAGTCTTCCTGCTCTGCTCTAGGTTTTGGCAGGCCTTTTTTGTTTTGTTTTGTTTGCTTGCTTTTTGTCCCTGGGATTCTAATCTTTCCTTCAGTCTCAGATCCCCTTGCTTTATTGCCCCAATTTGCTTCATTTCGTGTGGAATGGGAACCTGCTCTTTGTGCCTGGCCTTTAATCATCATCTCATTCTCTCTCCCTTTACTACAGTCTCTGATGACTCCATTTACTCCATTCTCTTCACTGAAGAAAAACCCTTCTTTTCCACTCTTGATTCCATCTTCTGTCTCCTTTGGAATATTACCCACATGATAATCCCCATTCTCCCTCTCTCCCTCCCCAATTTTCAGTTTCTCCCTCTCTAGTGGCTCCTTCTCTGCTACTCTCATGCATGCACAAATCTCTCCTGTCTTTAAAAAAGCTTCTAACTCCAAAGTCAGTGCTTTTTCTATTGTACCACCTCACTTGCTTCTCTCTCTGTGACCTCATTAGTTCACATGGGTTTAATTGTCATATTGATTTTTAAAACTCTCAGGTCTACAAATCCAGTGCTAGTCTCTTTCCTAAGTTCCATATTACCAACTGCCTATTGGACATTTCTCACTGGATGTCCCAATGGTGTCTCAAACTGAATATGAAATGGAATTCATTATCTTTTCCAAATACCCTTATTCTATAGGATAAAACACTATCCATGCAGATACCTGGGTTCATAATCTCTGTGTCATCTACTATTTTTCATTCTCTCTTACTCCATATATTCATTCAGCTGCCATATCTTTTCATTTCTCCTTCCATCATATCACTCACATCCATCTCTTTCTCTTCACTCACACAGTCATCACACAAGTTTAGGTCCTCATCAACACTATCCTCAGATGTTGCAATAACTTGCCTCAAGTCTTTCCCATCTTAAATCTAATCTCTGAACAGTTGGCAAGGTGATTTTGACTAAAGTGAAGGTTTGACCATCTCATTTCCCTACTTAATAATCTCCAAATGTTTCCTGTTACCTCTAGGATCAAATATAAAATCCTCTGTTTGATATTTAAAGTTCTTCACAATCTGGTCAGTCTTATTTTCCAGTTACTCCATTTCAGCCACTACATTACATTACAATCCAGACAAATTGACCTTCTTACTGCTTCTCATACTAACATCTTCTATCTCCATACTGGTTGTCCCCCATGATTAGAAAGAACATCATCTCTGCCTCTTGGTATTCCTGGTTTCCTTTAAGGCTCAGCTTAAGCACCACCCTTTACATGAAGACTCCCTTGATCCCCAAAGCTATTAATGTCTTCCATCCAAAATTATATTTTATCAATTTTGCATCTATTTTGTTTATAGCTACAGTTATGCCTCCCTTACTAGGTGGTAAATTACTTGAATACAGGATCTCTTTCATTTTGTCTTTGTATCCCCAGCACATAAAATTGTGCATAGTATGTATGTATTGATGGATGGATGAATGACTTTGGTATGGGATGATAACCAGGTAACTACTAACAATCTCTAATATGTAAACATCTCTATAACTGCCACCAGGTTGGAACCATTTTATCCCACACTTTGGGGTGATTCCACTATTCAGGCTGCATCAAAAAAGAACAGGATTAAAGGAAATGCCAAAAAAAATGCTCAGGAAGGATATTTCCTTATGACAAAGCCCTTCGTGAAGTTTATTTGTATAGAGTACATGCCTGACTCCTTGTTCCAGTAAATCTCTTTTTGTTTAAAATATTCATCTTTTTCATTTGCCTAATATTTTCATCTTGATGTCATAGTGCCATCATGACTAAGACAGTTCTGGCTCCAATACTACTGTGAGTGGGTGTGTGTGTATATGTGTGTGTGTGTGTGTGTGTGTGTGTGTGTATGTGAGAAATGGTCACTTAAATTCTCTTTTTAATGTAATCATTTGCAAGATTAGGCAGAATAGTTTCTGTCTGCCTATTTAAACTGTGAGCAGGATGCCCAGGGATTGTCTAAAGAATGCATATTTTTTATTATTGGTAGCATATCTAAGCAAAACTAGTGACAATGCTATTGTTAGTTTGAATTCTTATTTATGACCTGAAACAAAAACACAATACCAAAATGTGGTTTTAACAATCATCATCATCATCATCATCATCATTACAATAATAAAAATCAGTCTGACTGAAGATTCTATGAAAATTCTCTCTCTTCCTAGGGAGAATTCTGGGAAGAATGGATGTACACCTGCATAAACAATAGCAGAAGTTCTAAGGACAGTTTATTGGCCTTTGGCTTAGGGAAGAGGAAAAGAGAAAATATAATGAAGTTCAAAAGAAGGAAAATATGCTGAGAAGGAGGTAATTCTCTCTAAATCCTCATGGGAATATCAATTTTTTTGTCTGACTAATCCAAAAGGAAATTACCATTAAATTCAAAGACTGGTTTGTTTTTGGATTAGACCTATGGTTTCATTGTTCTGCAATTGCTCTGTAGCTTACTGGGTTAGAGAGCTGCCCAGGGCACTAAGAGGTTAAATCATTTTCCCAGGGTCACCCAACCAGTATGTGTGAGAGGTAGGCCTGGATTCCTAGTCCTCCTTACTCTAAAGGCAACACTTCCCTATACCAATCTATGTCTAATAAAAATTAAGAGAGTTTTAAGGTAGTTCAGTTATGACTTGCAAGGCTTCATAGCATATTATACATTAAGCAGAATTTGGAGTCAGGAAGAACTTTTCAAACTTTGACACATAATGGCTGTATGGTTGTGCAAAAAAAATTTTAATTCTTAGCACCTATAAGACTCTACTTTGCAGAACAGTTGCCAGTTTGTTTTTGAATGAAATTGCAGGTCTAGACTAAAGAAGGTTGTTTGACATCTAAATAATTGATAAGTCCTGTTAATTCTGCCGCAGAACATCTGCTTCTGTCCTCTTCTTTTCACTCACATAGTCACTATTCTATTTCAGGTGCCTGAAAATAAGTAAAATTAGAACAAAATATATTATATTTTAAAACTAAGTCATAGGCCCACAGGGATCATCTGTAAGTATGGATTGCTAGCCTCCCTTTCTATTTGAATTTGACACCACTGTATTAGGATACAGAGATATTGTAAATAAAGATAAGAAGGCAGAAGTGAAAATCCATCTTTTACAGATAAAAATGCAATAAAAATAGTAATCAGTTCAGTTTTCACAAACCGAAGACACTGACCCAAATGGAGACTTAGTAATGAAATCCTAAATAATAAATGATTCAAAGAACAAATCTTAGAAACAGTTAATAAATATATGAAATTGAATGATATTTGTGAAAAATATAAAATTTCTGGGATGTAGCTAAAGCAGGCCTCAGGGGGAAAATTATATCCCTACACACATTAACAAAATTTTAAAAAGAAAATTAATGAATTGAATATGCATTTTACAAGTTAGAAAAACAACAATTAAACAAACTGAAAATAAGCACAAGAGAGAAGATATTAAAAATGAGAGGAGAAACAGATAAACTGGAAAACAAAAACTATAGAAATTATAACTAAAACAGTTGAGATGGAAGGAAAGAGTAGGTCATGGGATTTAAGGAATATGAGAAATTGGAAAATTTGGAGGTTTGAGGCTAAGCAGCTATGTGAGAGGAGACGGTGAGGAGAAGAGGAAGATGGCAAGACAAATGATAAACTCCTTGAGAAAGGAGTTAGAAAGATGAGGGGGATTTGTAAACTATATCCAACTGAAATGCGAAAAGTAATGCAATAATTTTGGGTGACTTGAACTTCATAAATGTAACAGAAAAGAAAGCTTGCAGGCCCCAGTCTGACCTGTGAAAACAAGAAAATATAAGGAAAATAAATGAGAGCTATGGAAGAAAGGCATGAAAAAAAAAAAAAATTAATGGCTTGAAACAAAAGGTTCAAAATCTTTCCCAAGAAAATAACTTCCTAAAAATTTGAATGGATTAAGTGGAAACTATTGACTCAATGAAACTAAGAAATATTAAAACAAAGTCAAAAATTGAAAGATAATCTGAAAAAAATGCAAAGTATCTCATATCATAAACAACTGACCTGGAAAATAGATCAGGGAGAAATAATTTTAAAATATCAAAGCTGAGACACCGTGTTTCAAGAAATCATGGGGAAAAAAACCAAAACACCCAGATCACTTAGAAGCAGAGGGAAAAGTAGAGATTGAAAGAATCCACCAGTAACTTCCAGAAAGAATTCGCAAAATGAAAATTCTCAGGAAGGTTATAGCCAAAACCCAGAACTCCCAGATCAAAGAAAAAAATAATAAAAGCAGCCAGAAAGAAATATGTTAAGTACTAAGGAGTCACAAATAAGATCACATAAGATTTAGCAGCCACTACATAAAGGACTGGAGAGTTTGGAGTGTGGTATTCCAGAAGGCAAAATATCTAGACTTACATCCAAGAAAAATTTACTAGAATAACTAGAAAATCAAAAAATAAAAACCTCAAATTAGGGGCAGTTAGGTGGCACAGTGGATAGAGCACTAGCCTTGGAGTCAGGAGGACCTGAGCTCAAATCTGGCCTCAGACACTAACTATGTGACCCTGGGCAAGTCACTTAACACCAATTGCCTTTAAAAAATAAACAAACCTCAAATTAAACACCAACATAGGAATTCTCTTAATAATACTTTTTAATACTTTTTTAATAATACTTTTTATTTTTACTAATAATACTTTTAAAATAATACTTAATAATGCTTTTTTATATATTATATTAAATAATGCTATTTTGTATTTATATTTTTATATTTATATTTTATTCCCCTCACTGAACCCTCACTTGTAATAAAGAATATTTTAGACTTCTCAATAATGTTAATATTAAAATTTGACAAAGAACGCAAAATTAGTATTATACAAGCATCCATTCAAATGGACTCAATTCAGTCCAATGGTAAAACTCAAAGATCACTAGATTTGGATACAGAAGTCCTGGGCACTATCCATACTACCCTGGGAAAGTTACTTCAGCTCTCTGCACCTCCGTTTCCACATTTGTAAAATGAGAAACTTGGACTATATGATTTCTAAAGTTCCTTTTAGCTGTAAACCTCAGATAGTTGATGACCAGATAACTGACTTACCTCTCTGGTGCTTAGTGGCATAATGTCTAATTAGGACTAGACCAGGTGTTCCAGTTGGATCCTATTTTCAACTGAAAGGCTAGATGGCCTTGTATTGAGGAAACATTAACAGGTGAGTCTGGACCAAAAAAAAAAAAAAAGCCAGTGAAATCATCATTTTTTTTAATTAATTTATTTTGATTTATCAACAATCACTTGCATATGTTTTTGAGTTTAAAATTTTTCTCCCCCTTCCTCCCCACCAGCCTCCCCAAGATGGCACACAATCTGATATAGGCTATATATATACATTCCTATTAAACATATTTTCACCTTAGTGATGTTGTAAGTAACCACCAGAAAGAGGAAACAAAACTCAACAGAAGAAAGAAAAAAAATAGCAAATAGTATGCTTTGATCAGCATTCAAACTCCATAGTTCTTTCTTTGGATATGGATACTATTATACTATAAGAAATGATGAACAGGTGAACATCATTTCCTTTTGATTCAATAGTAAGAGCATTTTTATAAAACTTTTCTTTTTAGCTCTTCAAAGCAAAACTCTCAAGTTTTTCTAGTTTTCTTCATGGTGAGATTTTTTTTCCCCATTATCACACTCATGTTCCCTTTGCATTTTTCTTTCAGTCAATGACATGACCTAGAATGATCACACAAGATGGTTCAGGTACCAAGGGTTTCTGATCAACTAGTCCAGACTTGAACTCCTCCTGCTGTCAGTATCTGATGCTGAAAACTCTTTTTACCAGTCAGCTCTGACTGAGGGCCCCAATAACTCTTGCCACTTTGAACTCACAAGGTTGCCACTATGAAAATGGATACCTTGATTTGCTTGAGTCCCTCCCCCATTACCAATTATCCAGGTAGCTAGAAGAACTGTATGAGGACTGGTTGTATTGCTTGACATACCACCAATCTTTTGCAGTGACCGAGAGTAAATCTAGCTGGATGTACAGAAAATTAGCAACTCTGAAGCCAATTAAGTTCATATCAGCTTTGAAGTAGACCCTGAGCAATTTCGTGGTTTATGGACCTTCAAGAGACATCTCCAGAGACCCCCCCTAATTGTTGGTTATGGGGCTCTAGGACACATCATGTTTTACATCCCCTTATCTTATTGTTTGTGCTCAGACCTTGAATTGTCAGGCTGATTTGTGTATCAAAGAGCCATATCTGACCCTGGAATTCCTTATTCCCTCTCTTGAATCTCCCCTTCTTTGGGAATGGGGACTGACTATTTCCTGCCTTTCTCCCCATATTCCCTTCCTCCCTTTGTTTGAAAGGTATTGATATCTTACTCTTTCCAACTGGACCTTGAACATGTCAGAACAGACATTGTTTCATCTTGTAAGCTTATTCTCAGGCAATAAATGCATTTATAATCCGTGTAAACTGTGACTGGACTCTGGTTCATTCCATGTTCCCCTTTTTGGGCCTGGGTTTTCTTCCATTTAACAGTTCACAGGGTTTTTCTTTAACATCCCAAAGATTAAAAATGTCTATTTTTAAAATTTCTTACACAGGTATAAAGAACAAAAATATAGGAAAAAAATGTGACCAGAGCCTCCTGTCTGTCAGTATATTTGCTCAAGCTGCCACATGTGAACAGTCATCATTTCTGTCAGGGTTCAGGAGGGTACCTGGGAACTGGACTAGAGCCCCTTACCCACCCCTTAATGGAAGTCCTAGAATGAAAGAGTTACAATTCCTGGGAGTAAGAGCAGAAGCTGCCTCTACTTTTAAATTGATGCACTACCCTTTGTCTTTAGGAGATCAATAAGGATGCTTTTGGCGCATCTATCTATAATCCCTAATTCCAGAAACATTTCTAGGCTCCTGATTAAGACCAAGCATCTTCCTTTCCAGTGTCTAAATCTTGTCAAATAGACTATAGATATATCTCTCCCCCTTCCCCATCCCCCCCCCCAAAAAAAAAAAAAATAAAGCATACTTATTCTGGAAGCTTTAACAAATTTAGTTGTATATGTAAAAGGAAGTTTTCAAAGACTTCCCAAGGACATGGAAGTCTAAAGCTGGGAGTACTGGCTCTATCAGACCACACCCTCAGGAGTCATTGACTCCTCAGTTTGAGCTTCTACAACCTGCAGAGAGGGTCCCCCTACAACCTTCTCCCTCAGGGGAGGAAGTCATTCCCTCCTCTTGAAAATAGTGATAAGATAAGCCTGAGGCTTTGTAAAAACCCATGGGGGTTCCACAATCTCTATCCCAAATCAACTCTGAGAAAGCCTCAATTCTTGTGGATCCTTCCTCAACCGGAACTGGATTCTCTGGGTCAGAGACCATAACCTAATGCCCTCATTCCCTAACCCTTCAGGGGAGAGCTCTTTACTTTCTTTATTACCCTATTAGCTTTACTTACCCTATTAGCTGCCCCTCAGCCTTCATTGCATCGTCCTTGAAAGCAGAGAGTTCTGTCTGCAGATGCTGAATGTACCAGAGTAATTTACTTTCAGTATGACTGTGCAACCATGTACAGAAAATGCTAGCCTTGAAGCTTTCTTTACCCTTCTGAACAACCTCCTGCAGCACTCTTAGAGCTCATCTGTCTGCTTCAGTGGGATATTCTGCCTCAGTGAAAGCCTGTTACCTGTCCCACAGAGAGGACTCCCCAAACACCATCAGGAGGGCTCTGGTGACAGAAAGCCAAATGATCTGTCTACCCTTCTCTGTACTGCAAATATAGATTACTTCCTCCAGTTTAACCATGACATGAGTCTGGAGGCCATCTCCTCTTTCCCAGCCTGCCAAGACTATGCCAAATTGTGTAGGCATAGCTGTAAAACCAGTTCCCTCTTAGTTTAGGTTCCAAGTTGGAATGAAATGGAGCATTCACAAGTCACTGATATTTAACAAAGGAGGAGGTTTACTTTGCCCTAACACAAGCAAGAACATACAACATGGATACAATGGCATGTAGTTTCTCTGAACAACTCCCCCCTCACCCCTAGCCTCTCAACCTTGAAACTGCATCTAGTTAGTATGGCAGAAATAAAGGTAGACCTAAATAATTGGAGAAATTTTCATTACTCATGGGCAGGCCGAGCCAATGTAATAAAAATGACAATACCGCCCAAGTTAACTTACTCATCAATATCACACCACTCAAACTATCAAAGGATTACTTTGTTGAGTTAGGGAAAAAAAAACACAAGGAAATTTATATGTAGGAACAAAAGATCAGGAATCTTGAGAGAAATAATGAAAAGTGAGAAGGAAGAGATCCTAATAGCACCAGATCTCAGACTATATTATGAAGCTGCAATCATCAAAAACAATTTGGTATTAGTTAAGAAAGAGAAATTAGGTACACAATATACAGAAGCAAACAAGTACAGTACCCTAGTGTTTGATAAACCCAAAGATCTTAACTATTGGGGTAAAAATTCACTATTCAAAAAACCCTAGGAGGAAAACTGGACAGCAGTCTGGTAGAAACTAGATAGACCAATGTTGCATACCACATACCAAGATAAGCTCCAAACAAATACATGACTAAACATAAAAAGTAATATCATTTTAAAAAAATTTTAGAGGAGAAGGGAAAAAAATTTAAATTACAAAAATTTTAAACAGAGATTGGATGGGTATTTATTGAGTTGGCTGGATGGCCATGGAGTGCCCTTGCAAGTGTTGAGATTGTATGATTCTGATTATTTTTATGGGAATTATGATTCTAGAGATTATAGTTGCATATGACCTACCATATGAGCAAGACAATTTATTCAAAGGATCACAAGGACATTTGAATGTGACTTGTATAGACTATATCTAATATGTGTCTTTGCTTTAAGGATCTGTGGTTTTAACTAAGTACTCCCTCCACCGGTACACAACACAACCCCTCTTTGCTTCAGCAGCCTTCTTGAGTGACTACTGCTGAAAACATTCATCATGTCACTGCCAGTCATTTGGTAATGAGTGTCTCTGAATATTAGTTGACCCACTGATACCATATATAGAGTGCATTGCAGGACTCAAATAATAATAATAACAGCTAACATTTATATAGCACCTACTATATGCCAGGTGCTATGTTAAGTGCTTTACAAATATTAGCTCATTTGATCCTTACATCAATCCTGGGAAGTAGATGTTATTAATATTCTCATTTTACAGTCAGGAAAATTGAGGCAACCAGAGGTTTAAGTGACTTGCTCAGGGTCTCACAACTAGTAAGTGTCTGAGCTCAGATTTGAACTCAGATCTTCCTGACTGCAGACCCATTAGCCACTGTGTCACCTAGCTGCCCTGTGAGGCCTTTCCAATTTAGCAATCCTTGCCAGGGCTTACATTCTGCTGACATAGAATTCTTGGTCACCTTTAGAACCCAATCAGGGATCAGAGTAGGAGCTTAGTGGAAACTATATACATACACATAAATTGTGTTGTTTATTTCCAAATAATTAACTTATGGCTAATTGCTTCCCCTTTTATCCTAAGTTATTATCACTATCTTCATTCTCTTTCATGAAAATAGTGTTAGAGTAGGAGTATACAATGGAAAATAAGACGAGGACAAACAGGCTTTCTAACTACCTCCATTTCAAACTTTGAAGAAAACTAGCTTGGGTGGTTTTAACAACATAATTTTTATGCAGCTGTTCGGGTGATGCGTTGTTATGGATTTTCTCCCCACACAAAGAGTCTAAAGGACATTTCTGGGACTTCTCACTTCTTGGGCTACATGTCCCTATCTACCTGAGTGCTTAAGTATCTAGAACTCCCCAAAGGTAATTAGCATCTCATTTTTCATGAACTCAGACTTACGAGGCTTCAACATATACAACCATCAAGGGCATATAAATGACCCACATCGGAGTTTGTAAAGAATCAAGAAGCATCCACCCACGAGGTCAGCCTTAGCCAAAGGTTCATATAGCTTCCATGGCTTGCAGTAAGTACTGCCTTGGGTGCGATCCAGACAAAGGGAGGGAGGCTGTTCACTCCCTCTGTTCATTTTCAACACTCCTCTCTGAGGTTATTTGTGCTGCATTCTCTTTCGATAAAAGTTCACCTCTAGTTACTGCTGCCCATAACAGTACATCTGTAGCACTCTTTTGCATAGGTGGCATAAGTCCTTTCAATACTGTCACTGTCTTTCATTGCCAATAGGTTTAGTGGGTCGTCTCACCAATGCTATCACTCAACTTTTCTTTGCTGCTCCCAGCAATTCAGCTCTCTTCCAACAGATACTGATTGTTTTCTCTCCAGCTTTCAGGCAGAAGTCCAATGGAAAGAGGCTAATAGCATTGTTCTTTTATTCCTCTATGCCAAATTGTCTTTAAAATTTTCTGGGCTGTTTACAACCAAATCCTGTAGCCCCACCTTCTACTCAAGGATTATTCAGGCAGCTACAGGAACCTACAGGAATAGCTACTTCTTGAACCACTGGAAAAAGTCTCTGTTTTTTAATTCAGTTCATGGTGGTTTTATCTTCACCCAATGCCTAGGAGATGTGTCTCTGGTTCAGATGAGCACTTTCTACTTACTTGAGACTTAGCGCAACATTTCCATTCTCTTTCTATCTGCCTTTCCATCTCCCATCTTCACTTGCTTTGGAGCAGCTACAGCCAGGTTATTACAGAACACCCGAGATATTTTCTTCAATGATCTTCCAGAGTGAAAGGATTAGGGCAAAAGGGGGCTTCCACTGATTGCTTCAAGTAGAAGCAGAGAATCAACCACAAAGGTAAACAATTTGTGCATTAAGTACAATAGGGACATCAATTATCAAAGAGAAAACAGTTACAGGGTGTAATACTTTTGACTGACTTGATATGCATACATCTCATTCCTCAAAGTAGTGAAGATAGCTAAGAAAATGCTTCTGAATGCCTCAAAGTCATATTAGGCCCTAAACTTCCTACATTTCAAACCGCTAAAGTAATGACCCCAAAGTTAGGTCATTGAAGGCCAAGCCATAGAATGACTCAGAAGTCAGAATGAAGGCCAGATAAAAAGTCTGCCAAATCATCCTCCAGTAAAACAAGTGCATGCTTGGAAGTCAAGTGGAGCTATCTTGGTAGACAGTTTACACATTTAAATTGTCTTTGAAACTCTTCCCAGATATCTCTAATGTTCACTTTGTAAACTCTGACTTTTAAAAATAATAACAGCAGTAGTGGCATTTGAAGATTAAAGCCAAACTCATTTTTAAATGCTGATTTTAACTCATCAACAAAAATGATAGCCAATTTGATACAATGGAGTAACTGAGCTCAATATTTTATCAGATGGAAGGGCTGCCAAATAGATCCAAGGCTATAAATATCCAATGCTTGGCTAATCTGGCTGCATAGGTCCCTTGACAAATTGTTACGGCCCAAAGAACTATCAGCTGACACCATACTAAAAATATCACTGAGAAAACCATGTCTAGTTGAACTACAACATGCCTCCCCATCTCCTTCACTCAGCCCAACTTCTTCTTCTCCTCCCCCACTCAAACACCACTCAAACTAGCTTCTTCTATATTTCCTTCCGGAGAAAGAGGGTCTGTTTAGAGGGAGGAGGCTGATACTTACTTGACTTTTTCCAACCTACAGTTTCCCTCTAATAGAAAAAATTTAGAACAGGATTCATAATGTAATCCCTCACGTAGAGTTCATATACATGAATAATCCATAGTATATACTTGTGGTAACATGGGTCTGAGAACTTCCTGGCATACCAGGATTTGTAGTTCATAGGGACAAATATTTCCTCTCAGCCTTGAGAGTGATTTGGGACTATCAGTCTTTGAGCTGAAGCATTTACCTAAGTCATGTCTGAGAGTTTTTAAAGGGACACACATACTCTGTGAGAGAATGAGGGAAAAGAGGGGAGCTTCAAGAGCTCAAGAGCAGTGGGGGAAGAGTAATGAGCCCCACTTGGGACTTAATGAGCTGAGCTTGAATCCATAAAACAACAGGTCCAAAGAGAAACTGAAAAAAGACCTCCCCAAAAAAAGACTGAAAAGAGAAAGCAAAAGAAGTGTTGAGCTGTAGTAGATTGAGAAGAAATTGAAGAAGGTCAATAGATATTTTGAAGCAGAGGACTAATTGTACTGAAGCTACTAATTGCACTCACTTCTTCAAGGACTGAGGAAGTTCAAGTTGCCTGTAACAGAAACAATAATGTATTCTGTTTACTTCTTCTACCTAACAATTTCCTGTATGCTTCAAACATAAAGAGGCCAAGGGTTAGCTAGTGGTTTAAATTAGGACAGAGAGGAAAACCTCTGCCTAAATATTAGGATTTTTCCTAACTGAGGGCTTTAAGCTACTATTTGTATGATATACACATATGTACGCATTCATGCTTGCATGCATGCATTTATGTATGTGTGTATGTATGTAATACTGCCTACCCTGGTCCCTGCTGCCTGATGGCTAGTTGTATTACATTTCACTTCTCCCCCAGGGTTCTCTGAAACCCTTAAAGGGTTTTGGGTGTGTGTCTAAGCTCTCTACAAATGGCTCCAGCCACCACCAATGATGTTCCCTCAAATATGTGAGGTTACTTGCACTCCAGTTCCATTTAGCAGCCAACATTCAGATTAGCTTTCACAAAGGAATGTTCACTTCAAAGGGTATAATCAAAATATGCAAACTTAATC